AAGACTGGCAGTTGTTTGAAGGAAGTTATGCCGAGCTCATCCCCCTCCACCATCTTTAAATTGGACTCCGCATCCGGCAGCCAGGTGGCCTTGGACTCAGCACACTCTCTCTTATTATAGCCAATCTGGCCAAATGTTCTATCATTGCTATATCGCACGAAAGAAGAAAGGAATGGCGTCTGAACAGCGGAGGATGAGCTGTTAACCGATGGGACACATTTGTAAAGAGCTTTGACGTATTTTGTCTATAGATTGATTAGTCCAAGTGGCTGCATACCATCACCTCTCATCCCGGATTCCAACGCTGCACTATCTGCTGTTGACCGCACCAAGATTATAAGTCATCATGACACGAGATAACGCTGCTTTTTAGGGAGAAGGCTCCTGCTGCAAAAAAAGATAAACGCCAATTAGAGACTGTCAAGCACAATGAACGCACAGAGAGAAAAACACACAAGAAAATCTCCCCATTTTATCTTTAATCCCGAAAATTCCTGCCTTTGAGCCCGACTCCCTGATAGCAACAAATGTAAACACAGCAGTCAACCTAATGGACACACCTTGACGGCCGCACAGACAAAACAATTGCACAACACGCCGCTAGATTAAAGGAGCTGGGGTCTTTTCATGTTGTTTGCTTTAAAGCGTTAGTAAAGTATAGTTTGCAGGCAGCAGAAAAACAGCTGAAGGTGTTGGTGTGTAATTTGATATTTGAGCCAGTCAAGGTTCTCCATTCAATCCTTTTTGTATTCATTGCAAAATATTTCATTCATTTTTATTTCAGTTTTTTTCCCCGTCTAAATACAGTTTGGATACTTTAATTCATACTTAGGACATTAGCCACACCCCCTTTTTATTCGAACAATCAAAAAATGAGAAATTCTTTGGTCGACTACTGCCCTAGTCATGTTTAATACACAGTACAGAATTATGAGACTTTTGCAAAACATTGTTATTGTTATATAAGCAACAATAAGATACAAAAAAATAGTGCATCAATACCGGAACGTTTTTTGGATCGGATTTTGGGTATCGGATCTATAATATTGTTAAGCCGAACACCTGTTTGGAACTTTAATTAGATGTAATAAGTTTAATAGGCCCAGAACTCACAGAGAGTTGTTCTACAGTAACTTGCAGGGTAAAAAAACACTCCAAAAATACAATTGGACCCATTTTGTAATACATTTTCTGTTATTATTGAGAGATAGATTTTCTCTTGTGGTAATATCAGGTACTGGGAGATAAGCTAAAACTACAAGCTAAAGTATTGAGGTCAGTGTCAGCTGAATCGGTGCATTACTTAAAAAATATGAATAGTATAAACATTTATGAGCTATAGGGACCATGCTTTACTGCTGAAGAATTTCTGTTCTTTCAGCCGAGGAGCATCTGCACAAACAAATGAGCGAGCCAAAGAGAGAACGGCTCTATCTCTCAAATTGCCGACAGCTCAACCTTTAATCTTTTAATTATTACGAACCAAAGCATTATTTATGACAAGAATACACAATTTCACATTTCAATCTGGTTGTTTACTAACAATTTGTGTATCGATTAATTCAGTTTCCACAAAGCATACTGTTTCCAGGCGACATTTTGAGCATTAAGCGGGACAAATTTGGAAATCTTGTTACATGTGCTTCCCCCCCAGGCATGGCTCTCCCAGCTCATTCTGTCGCACACGTTCAATATTCTGTTCTGTGTCTCCCGCTCAGATGAATAATGCATCTGCTTCTCAAACCGAGATTATTTTGCTTTGGGAACAAGTTCGAAGTTTGATTGGTTCCTATTTCTTGTGTGGTGTCCCTGTGGCCCAGCGAAACCCTTCCAGTGCTCGGCGTGTGTGAGATAGTGGAGATAATTGGTGATGCTTTTGATAGAGTTGTGTCTTGTGCAGCTTGATGGTGGTGGCTGTGTTTTTTTTCCCCCCCACCACGTATTCGGTCTCTTTGGGATGGGGAAAAAAAAACCTGTGGAAATCCTAAGGGTCTCATAAGAGCAGGTGAAAGCAAGTGATGAAACGCAGTAATAACGAATCCCACACCACGACCATAATGAGGACAGATGATGCATATTTCCCCCTCCCTCCTTTTTTTTTTTTTAACCAATAATTCAAGCCTTGTGCAGCTGTTATTTAAGATGAAAGCTCTTGCACTTGACAAAAACGAGTAGCTCCTTGTGCATGTACTAACAGATGGCTCAGTACAATACAGTAGATTAAACTGGCTTTCGTTGAGTTTAGATCTATGTCAATACTAAACACTTTGTCATAACATGCAATAAGTCAATTCCACATGTTGAAGGTTGAATCTGGAAGCAAAGAAAGTGATGTCATATGCTTACAGTTCATCCATCAACAGCAGTATTAAGAAGCTCCAAGTGCACGGACCCACACATGAAATTCAGACACAAAAACAAGTCATTTATAATGTTTTTTGGCTAATATTTTTTATGGAGTAGTAGTTGTATGTCTAGATAAGTTTTACAGAAGAAGTCTGCTCTCCCCCCATCAACACAAAACTAATCTTTAAAATACCTCTTAAAGCTGGGGTAGCTACATTTTACGCCAAATACAATCTTTGTAACTTGTTCCTCACTCTCAAAGCAGTTTTTCTGTCACGTCTTTCTAACAGCTTTTTCAGACAGAAAAGTGAAACAAAGCGGACCACCCTCATTTAGCCAATCATCTCTCATTCCAAATATTCAAATAGGGACTCACAGGGATCTTTCTGTTACGCAAAAGTTGGTGAAGTTGATGAGGACTTGATGCATTTTGAGGTCTAATGGCCTCCTGCGTTTCAGATTCATGCAGCTACAATCTGAAACAGTCTTCCTGAAAATATGAGACAGGCTTTTACTTTGACAATGTTCAAAATTGCACGTACAACTGAAGGATTGTACTGAGATGATTAATTATTTAAAAGCCTTATTGTGATTTATATCTGTCTTTTCATGTTTTGTTAAGCACTTTGATGTGTATGAACTGTGCCATACAAATTAACTTGCCTCTCCTTGCCGTTATAAAGGGAACAGCTCATTCAATCATTATTCTAAAAGCGTTTTTCCCGGATGTCCACTAATTGAGGTCTGCCCCTCTACATCTGAGCCTATGAACTGCTGCAGAAACTTTCCTTGCATGTATTTGGATTATATTAAGCCAGTAGATAATTGACACGGCTATACATCTTCTATACATCCTACATTAACATTGACTCTCCTTGTCACTGCGTCGACTCTTCAGCTCGTTTCTCTTGTCTCCAGAGACGCTCAGTCCCCATCAGAGCATGCTAGCAACCCCTATAATACTCCCACAGCTTACTCCTAATCCCCCTTGACTTACTATAGCCATTATCCAGTCAGTGCTGCAGTTATAATGATCAACCACAACCACCCTGGGTCACAAAGAATAAGCACTTATAGAAAAAGACAGGATTCTGAGTCTTTTCTATTAGGTTTGTTCTCCAAATATTAAGATCGTGACTGACAGCAGAATGGTGTTGGTTTTGGCAGCAGGTTTGAATGCAATACGGCGTCTTTTCAAGTGTTAACCCGTGTTTTGTAGCGGGTAACAAAGGCGTGCGAATGTCATGACTGTGAGTGGATTTTCGGTGCGAGATAAATGTGTTGCTCCCGGGTTTGAATTTGGAGGAATGGAGATTAGTATTCACACGTGAGGGCAGGTGATGGATGGGACTCCTGCTCCGGTCTGCAGCCGCTGTCACTTCAGGTGGCGGTGAACACTGTCAAATGTCATGTAGCATTGAGAAGTTTGGAAGGTGCTGAATTAGGTGCTAATGATGATGCTTCTTTCAGAGGAGTCATACATGGTGCTTTGTGTTGTTTGTTTATTTTATTCTCACGGTTGGCTTCTCAAGAGCATGTATTTTAGTTTGTTGTTGTTGAAGAATGAGGGATAAAGTGCTTCATGAGGAGGAAAAATGCTGCATCGTCTTCGACATCATTAATCACTTTCTTGAATACTTACTCAATCTCAAGTTCAACTAATTTTGTGTCAGGCCCATTTTTTTTTCTTAAAGGTGCAGTTAGCGATTTTGTTAGCTTAGCCGTAGCACCAACTCAAAACCACTCCCCCCTCCCCTCGCCTCTCCACCAAACCAAACATCCAGCATTTTCTTTTCTTTGTCACAACAGGGAGAGTGGGTGGCAAACGTGAAATGGCATTTTTTGTTCAGCCATTTTAGGTTCTAATATATCCGATAACTCAGATGCGCACACTCGCCAGAAACAGGAAGAGGGTGAAGGGGGTAAACGCATCCCATTGGTTCGTTGGGGATGAACGTATCCCATTGGTTTATTTTTATCGGTCCGCTCCAAAATATGTTTTATTAATTTTGTAGACTATAGGCATCTGGTCAATTCCATTACTTTTTGAAAACACATGATAACTTGACTACTTTTAGGGTTTAGAGACGTTTTCCCACAATATTTGAAAAAATTGCATCTGGAAAAAAATCACTGACTCCATCCTTAATGGTGCAAAATTGAGAGGACCTTCTTCAGAAATACGTACATATAAATACTGTTTATAAAATAAGTCTAAGTTTAGACAAAGAGAAAATATAACGTGGTGGTTGAATGTGAGCTGTGTATTCATATAATCTGCCATTGCAAGGACATGGACACGTTACGTTTATACACAGTTTTGCTGCATTCATTTATTGCAATGAAAACATATGAGTTCTTTCAAGATTATCTTTCCATTGGGTTTTTGAAATGCACACAACTAACAGAATGTACATATTGTATCATGTTCATAAATGTATCTGAGTTTCTTTCTACACCCAGCCTTGTGAAACTTTCTAGAGGTCATAGGTCACTTTCCTCTTTCCATGTACAGGTAAATAGAATGTATAGGGGCTTTGATATGAAGTAGAACATTTCTCTCAGAATACTGATGATTTTTCTAATAATACTGATACAGAACAGTTTTGTTATGGTCACGACACTCAATCACAACCTTATCTTTCTTTCTTCAGGGACTTGATGCCAAAGTCTTTGGATGGCCAGCTCACTATGGAGAAGACCCCCAGCTACTATGTGACCAAGGACATCCCCTCTCGGATCTACAACATGTCCAAAGACACCAAACTTATCGTGGTGGTCCGGGACCCTGTGACACGGGCCATCTCCGATTACACTCAGACACGCTCTAAGAAACCGGACATCCCGTCTTTCGAGAGCCTCACTTTTAAAAACATGTCCGCAGGTCTGATCGACGCCTCGTGGAGCGCCGTGCAGATCGGGATGTACGCAAAGCACCTGGAACGCTGGCTCAAGTACTTCCCTCTGGAGCAGTTGTTGTTTGTGAGTGGAGAGCGACTCATCACTGACCCCTCTGGTGAAATGGTGCGAGTGCAGGACTTCCTCCAGCTGAAGAGAGTTGTGGATGAGAAGTACTTCCATTTCAATCCAGCAAAGGGCTTTCCGTGCCTGAAGAGGCCAGAGAGCACCAACAAACCACACTGTCTGGGAAAAACTAAAGGCAGGACGCATCCCAACATCCACCCAGAAGTGGTGCAAAAGCTACGGGACTTTTACAAACCGTTCAATATGAAGTTTTATGAGATGACCGGCCACCATTTTGGCTGGGACTAATGAAATTACAATTACAGACATTTATATTTTAATAATTCAGATGTTCTATCATGTACAGTATTGGGGAAATATGTAAAAAATTGAGAAATCTATTTTATGATAATTTATTGTCAAGTCACTCTGCATTTTTGTGTCCACACACAAAAAGTTTATCATATTCAAATACGGGTCATGATTTATCTTGGTGTTGACATCCAAAAACATGTGTTTTTGTTTCAGAATCAGCTCAGTATGTTAATTTTTTTATTAACATACTCCTAATATGTAACCAGGAACTCAACTCAAACATTTTGACATCAGGGACCCCTCTTTTCTCTGGTAATATCCCAAGGAACCTATAACACAGGGATAGAGAACCTATGGCTCTAGAGCCGGATGGATCCTTTGATGGCTGCATATGGCTCTCTGATCTTAGCTGATATTTCTTAGAAAAATAAATATTTCATTTGAAAAATGCATTCTTGTTCATTTCAATCCATGCATTGTTTTTACTACACCATAGGCAGTATACTATGCACTTCTACAGCCCATTTTGACAACAAGAGTTATTCTGAATAAAGAAGTAAACTTCCCATCATTTAATCAGTAAGTCAGCCAACCCTTTGATGAAGATGAAAAGAAAAAAGATGAGATAATCAGTTCGAAATATTCAGCAATTATAAGTCTAGATCTGTTGGGCTTCCTTCTATATGATGTCTTCCACTATTGCATTACAATTAAATGCCTAAATTAAAGTAAAATAAGGTTTATTTCATAGATGTAGGAGTTTTCTCCTCACAAGCTTCAGGATATATCATAAGAATGACTAGTATTTTTAATTAATCGTACACATTTTAGAATTTCTTGGGGCGACCCAGACCCCGTTGAGAACGACTGCTGTGACCAATCTGACATGAGAAAAGTGAGAAGTGTCACATCAAGGCCCAACGACCCCTCTTACACGTTTTGTTTATTATTTTGGTTGAAACTTTTACATTAAAAAAATATTATTATAATTTATTTGCTAACATTCCTAAATAACATACACTACTTTATTCAACTCCTCCCATTTCCCTTTTCTTTTGTGTCCTGTTGGAAGTGAATGAGACCTTAGAAGGCAAACAGTTGGTAATTTCCCCTTAACATGAGTGTGACCCTCGGAGGCCTGTGTAAGCACTTAGGCAGGTCAATACAGGTCCCAGCTGATCCAGTGCCTCCGCAGGTGAATCAATACAGTAATAGCTCCTCATCATGTCAATTAGAGCTGAGTGATGGCACCGCTTCCATCTCCAGAACACCGCAATAAAACACCAAGCCTTTTATTATTGCTCGCAAGTTTATGGTCGACCCCGGAGGCAACTTCTGCATAATACAATAACATTTGTTTCCAAAGCTTTATTTTGGCTTAACCGCTGTTTATACAAGGTGCACGACCATTAAGGCTTATGAATCAATATTGGAAAGATGAAATGCTCTTCCAAGTACTTGACAAAACATTCTTATTTTTTATTCAGATGTTGTTTTTTTTATTCAAGTGGTTGGCCATGAAAGGAATTGACATCAGTGGTTGAGTTTTATTCAGCCAGAGAACGTGAGTCATCGTCAATATAATAGAGCTTCCTTGTTGCTATGGCGCAAGTTTAACTTAAAGTGCATACGAGAAGTTTTCATGTTGATTGCTGCTGTATTTTGTGGAACATGGCTGATGGTCTGTATTCAATTATGATATAGTATTTTTATTATAGCTTACATCAGTCAAAAAAGCAGGTTGGTGAGGTCATTGTTAAAAATCATGATCAAAACTTATTTTTTTTCTATTTAACATTTGATAATAAAACATCACATTACATGATTAATTGAATGCAATAATTATTGGTGTTTCAATTTGGATTTTTGAGGCTAATCACGACACCGACTTTCTTAGTTTTGGATGATACTGATCATGTGAATGTGAACAAAGGGTTTTATTATTCATTATAGTTTTAGTAATTTGGTTGTGTAGCAAAAACCAAAACGTTTTATTTGTATTTTTTATTTAGCATCTTTTCAACTATTGTTAAAATGTTCCTTCTAATTAAGTTCAAATCCGAAATGGGCTAATTCTCCCGATCACCGATCATGTGAGGATTGTCAAGCGGTGGCTTGATTGGAGAAGGGAAATAATGAATACACAATTCAATGATAATTATATTTCTCTTAATTTTGGGAAAACGTCTGCTGCCTATATTCCAAACCTGTCTATGCACTTTAAGTTATTCTACTACTGTATGCATTTGACAACTCTGGTTACTGAGAAAACGGAATTACATATTTACATTCTAAAGCATCTATTTTTATCTACTGCCTCCACAACCCAAAAGCAGGTGACTGACAGTTTTATACAATAAACATGACCAATGCTTTCAAAGTGTCTGTGCCTTTCTCACGCAGCATCACTTCCACCTCTGCGATGCCCGGAGTGAGGGTGGAGCTCTTTTTACAGCCCGTGTGCGGTTACATCATTTAGAAAACAGGTTAATTAGCACCGTTAGTCGTTAGGGGATCACACTGCAGATTCTGTTGCCATGACCCCCACACAAACAACAACAACAACATATCTGGTTTCAGCCACAGCAACGAGGACATAATGAAAAAAGAGAATTAGAAGATGTGATAACCCTAATGCTATTTGTTTAACTCATCTGGACTACTAAGTTGTTGAGTAATTTAAGAATTAACGAAGGTATAATTAAAATAGAGAATATTTCTATAACTGAATTTTTTTTCAAGTTCAAGTTTATTTTATTTTTTTACTCTATTTAGTGGGGTAACACCTTTAGGAAATAGTTTAAACAGTGAAAAGTTCTATGATGAAATTCAACTACATTTTGGGCATAAATTACATAATACAAATAGCAATACTAATTGTCCCTAGTTTTTCTCACTAGTTAGACTAAAATAGTATGTTTCATCAAAACATATTCCCCAGTGTATATTGTCATTCTAAACAGTCAAGAAGTCAAATTGAAGAATGACACATTTATAAAGCCGGAGAAATATTCTCCAAACTGTAGCAAAACATTTTAAATAAAATCTATGAATCTCAATGTATGGATTGATTTCTCACAGTTTTGTTATAGGTGGCAAAAAGCCCTGTCCATGATCTGTTAAAGCAAATTCTCAGTTGGAATGAAGGAAAAATTGGGACTTTTTGCCACCCATGATGAGGCAAGTTGATCAAAGCCTTCAAAAAGAGTGAAGGTACAATCTTTCGGTTGTTTGCACAGCTGAGCAGAACAGTTTTCTACCTGGATTTAAACATTGTCAGGGCTGAAGTCTCTCTGTCTTTGAGGAAGACTGTTCTCAATATTTGCTGCATAAATCTGCATAACAAGTGTGGCATCGGTCTATCGAGCCCTTTACATGTGAAAAAGTGACCAAAGTGCCACTCTCCTTTAACTTGCGATAACTAATATATCGCTCCATTGAAACACAACTGAAGCCTGAACTTTAGATGACATTCTATTCAAAGCAAAAATGACGGCTTTCCTTTGACCCATAATGTACTGTATCATTAAGATGTTTGTGTTTTATATCAATGCCTTCCTGAAAACAGTTGTCAGACTTTACACTACATAATTTGTTCCTTCTTTAAGAATGTCAAGCCAGCACTTGTTCCATCACCTACTGCAAAGGTTATGGTGCAAATAACACATAAATCTGTTCCCCCTTTCGACAACAACGCTTTATTTAACACGGTTACCTGGGGCTGGTGTAAAATGAAGCAAGGTTCTGGCTGATGGCGTGCTCAGATGGGGAAGCTGCGGATCTCATGCAATCACCAAGAGAGAGGTAATTGCTGGGTTGTACTTAACTGTTGAATCATTGTTTTTACACACAGGCCTGCAGGTGTTTTTCAGAGGGAGGGATTTTTTGTTTAAATGCTCTGAAATACATGGTGCGACAAGGTCAGATATGTTGTTTTAAGATTAGTAAAAGACTGCTACAGACTTGTCAAAAGTAGCCCCAACAAGCGATAACATAACTATAGAATCAAGTCATTAGAGCATTTGGAATTTATTGAGCAGTTTTAGAAGGATTTTAATGTACAGCAGAAGAATTGGTATACACTTAACTCCATTACATGTAAATCTTTTTGAATAGCCCTAAATCACAACAGCAGTCGTCTCAAGGGATCAGCACAAACACAGGAAATGAGATAATAACAAACACATAGGAACCATAGGGAGCGGGATGAGCAATGTCTATTAATGTCCATGAATGTATGTCCTGGATCATAACTGTCCTTTGACCCTTCTGCTTCAGCAAGGAACGACTCAAAAACCAAGTGGGAAAATAAGGAAGAAACTTTGGGGAGGCCCACATTGAGGGAGGGATCCGCTCCTACCGACGGACAGGCTTTAGATCCAGGACTCAGGCTGTAGAACAAGGACTCTCGTGACTCTGTGGCAACTCAAACGTCATTATTATTTCTCACTCACAAAATGTCTTTTTAGTTTGAAGAGATGACATCCAAAAGTTGAGTGATTTAATTATTCACCTGGTTCAGTCTATTGAATTTATGGCGCCGTAAAGATGGCGCCGTGGCAAGAGCTCTGGTGTGTGTCGTCTGGTGCACACTGGGGTAGTCTTGCACAGTTTTTCCAATGTGGTTTTACTGCAAATGGCAAATAAATGAATCTGAATCTGAATCTGAATCTGGAAGAATAGACAGACTATGCTGAATCTTTGTCTCCTTCTTTACCAGCTTTTACATTACCATAAAAAGTACTATCAATTTGTTAATTTAAATTTGATATAACAAAATAATATCATAAAATAAATCATCCTAGAATCAGAGCATTATCAAATCATATTTAGAATTTAAAAGATTGACAGAAATGACGAGTCTGCATTAGGACAATAGTATTTTTTCAGTTGAGTGCAATAGTCCAGACTCCAGACAAAAGATCATAAGTTTTGAGTGTTCTCCAGGTCACTAGAACAATGCCATCTCCTTGGTCCAAGTCATCACTCGTGCA